ACCACCACCACCACCACCACCGTTATCGTTGCCATCATCGTTAAGCCGCAAACGTCGCTTTGTCATCGTAATCGTTCTACTCGACGCCGTCGTCTTTGTGTAATCATCTTTCCACTCGGCACGATCTTTACGTGCTTTGTCTTTATTCGAAACTATGAAGTGGTATGTGATTATCTCTCTTTCGAGATACACCCCATGGCTCAATCTTTTCCACCGCTCGACCTCTTTCCTTTCTTTTTCATTTTCATTAGGAACAAGCTTGTCCCTCTGCCTTTATCATTCTTGCGTTTTCTAACCCGCCACTCGTTTCACTTCCCTATATACATAATATATACATAACCCTACGTTTTCCCCTACCTATACATAACCCTACGATATATACATCTGATAACTTGCATTTTATTATGTACATTTTAAGATTTTTTAAAATTACACAACACACAAAAGCGTGCGAGTGCGTGCATACGTATGTGTACGTATGTGTATGTGTGCGTACGTATGTATGAGCGTGGAAGAGAAACGACACGTAATATGTAATATATTCGAATTCTTATAACTTAAACGCCTGTGGAATAGAGAGAAGTACAGAGAAATAATTGCGATAAAGATGATTAACATTGACACTAACTAAAATTTCTAACTGTAAGCAGCAAAGTTACTTAGAAAAGTACCTTGGCGCGGAGAAAGATGCCACTTTACGTTTCATATACACATAGAGTGGGGTCGTTTAAAAATAGATGTTTAAACTTAAATTATGCCCCCTGGCGAATGGAGTTAGTAATTTAAGCATTTCGAAATTTTATTACTCGATTTTTATCGAACATATCGAAGAAAAAGACCGCCACACGTACATCATTATCGATCGAACACTCCCGCGTCTGCTTGTATTCAAAATTGATACGCCAGCAATTATTTCATCTATTAATAAAAAATTTCTTCCTTTATTTATAGACAGTAGCTCCAAAATATTCAAATAATCGTGTTCTTCGTTATCAGCTAGATTTCAATATTCAAGTTTATATAAACGATTATTAGCACAAGACTATTAATTCTTTGCAAAAGAAGGAAAAAAACGTTATACTTATATATTTATATATTTACAATTACAATCACCTACACGTGTTATTTTCTCGGAACGAGAGACAGAGTCGACCCGAATAAAAGAACAATTCTTACCTTGAGCATGACATTCGATTGCGAACATGTGAGAAATGCACGGCTTCTGCGTGACTAACAATAAATTCGAACGCAAGCGATTCGGCCATGTCGTAGTTAGACATGGTATCTGGACCAATTCTGAACTGTATAGTGTCATTCATATCGATCAATGCCGTTATCTGACTTATTGGATGCCTAAAACTTTCGCAGATATAAGAATATGTAGCACTCGCACACACGCGCGCGCCAAATTAATTCGTTTGAAATGGAAAACGAAAATTTCACTCGCTATGCAGATATTACCGTTGTTTTCTTTTGATGGAAGTTGAGCGTTTTATTTCATTTCCATAACGCGTGTCGTTTCAGATTATATTTTCACAGTTCCAAATGCCCTTTTCTTTTCTTTTCTTTTCTTTTCTTTTCTTCTTTTTTCTTTTACATGTGCAACCTCTATTTTTTGTCCCGATCTTGTAACGAGACCCATCCATATATTACACTACATACGATTTATCTTGTGCAAATAGGAACATAGAGAAAGCAATTATTAACGAATCGTAATATAACGAACAAACGATGCAATACGTCTTCTATGTGTGTGCGTGCGTGCGTGCATGCGTGTGCGGTTGTTATTATTTGCGCGATGTTCCTTGAATTCGTTAATTTGTCTGAATAAAGAGATAAAGCACTTGCATTTTCCACTGTAAAAATATCTTTTACCAACTACTTTTCACTATTTACTATTTAAATTTTCTCTCCGTTATCATATATATTGATATTCGCGTCAAGTATTATCTCACTGACTGTGAAAGAAATTAATCAAACAATTGTCTTTGTTACGCTATTAAAAGCGTGATAATATTCACTCTATTCGCGCTATTTCGATAATATCGAAGAAATTTCAAGTTCCTTTGTAAATAATATAACTTTTAGCTGCAAATATCGTGAAAATATTGCTACAATTTTAATAATGCTCTATCTTTGTGTTATAAAATATAGAGCAGTGTGTAAATTGCATTTTCTATAAAAATTAGGAAAGTTCGAGTCGTTTTATCAATTACTTTCATACATAAATATCCTCTCTTGATAATTATTTTTTCAATTATTTATCTAAAATCAAAGTTTCATTCAAATTATTTGTACTATCAATAAAAATAGAGATAGATAAACGATCGGAATTGCTGTGATGCGTGCATAGAGTGTCGGATATACATATACAGAGTGTAACACGTAGAATGCGATAATATTGACAGTAATATGTTTATGTTGAACATGGTTTTACGATACATTAGCACGGATAGAAAATATCAGATCAATTCTTACCGAACAAACGAAAGACTGTTTAATCTCGAGTGACTGAATCGCGAAACGTTTGAAATCATAGAGGGAAAAGATAGAACGGTGAACATCGATCGAGCATTCAGGTCGCTATCTTGCGGCGTTTATAAGCATTACGAATGCCGTGGTACGAAATCGAAAAATGGCCGTTCCATCGGTGTTTGACGGGATCTAGTACACCTTTCATAAAGATATTCGATATGTTCCATTCGTGGTGAAGAAAGTGATCATAGGAATAAAACGAACAGTGTAATAGAAACACAGAAAAAGTAAAATTACGAACGATTGAACGATTGCTTTCGAGTGAGAGAAACAGTAAGGAACGGGGGGGTGGGGTAGGGTGGGGTGTGGTAGGGTGAGAGTGGGGGAGGGTGAGCGAAGAAAAGGAGAGAAAGGAAAACGAAAGGGTGAGGTGAAGATAGAAACTATCGGGAAGGGAAGAAATAGTGGTAGAAAGAATTAAGGAAAAGGGGGAAAAAGCAAAGATGCAAATGGAAGTGCGGGATTGTGAAATAACGCACTCTCTGAGAAGAATTCGGATTGTGTAGAAACGTCATCAACGATTACCATACGACATTGTTGGTGGAAATAAAATATTAATCATATTTGGATCGGTTGGTATGTACGCGAGGATTTAGGGAAGGCTACGTTATATTATGAACAGTTCTGCAAATGAATTTCTAAAGTTAAAGAAGCAAAGCTATTTGTTTTCCATAGTTGCGCTATCACTCTTGGTTTATAATCACTAGGCTCGGCCTTGTTCGGTTCTGTTCGTAATAATAGTTAATCCAAGTTAGGATAGATTAGTAATGCGAACCAACTTCTTTCTTTCTTTCTTTCTTTCTTTCTTTCTTTCTTTCTTTCTTTCTTTCTTTCTTGAAAATTTTACGGCTGCGAATATTATTAAGGAAGAAGAGAAATCTGCAAACGATCGGACAGAGAAAGAAGGAACCGAACGTGACACTAGCTGACGGGTTGAACGTGGTCGAACGATTGATAGAGAGTAGACAATCGCCCCCTTCATACCCGCTGCACCCTTCGCACGCGCGTAATCATGGCTGCCTAACATAGGGCGCTCAGTATCGACCAATTTTCTACTATAATATGCTTTAGGTTAAAAACCTAACCTGTCACAAGCGCAGGGTGTGTCGTTTCTTCCACGTTGACAGCTGTAAAGTTCGCTGCATCGAGTTGTTTCGCGCTCACCTTATTTGCTATTGCGCCGATGCATTTTGATTGTTCTTCCATCTTTGTACCTATTTTTGATTGTTCGCATCGTCAAAGGCTAATAGAGGCCCAAAGACTATCAGCATGCGAATATTTTTTTTAATTTTTAACGAATCTCGTAATAGGGTTCACTTGCGCTTTTCAGGCATCTTGATCAATCTACTACTTTGCAGCCAAGGAATGTAGGCGACGAAAGTACGGATCAGAATAATAATATAACTATGATGAGCGAGGATTTGCTGCAGCCCGGCCATGTGGTCAAAGAACGGTGGAAAGTCGTGAGTCAATCCACCTTTCTCTTTCACTATTCCTCTCCTCCTTTTCTCCTCCTTTTTCAATATATTTCTCCGAAATAATCTTATTATCCATTTTGATTCACATAGTGGTTTATTGTTCTTTGTATAGGTCAAGAGAATAGGAGGTGGTGGATTTGGTGAAATTTATGAAGGCCTAGACTTAATGACCAGAGAGCAAGTTGCATTGAAAGTTGAATCGGCACGTCAATCAAAGCAGGTTCTTAAGATGGAAGTAGCAGTATTGAAAAAACTACAAGGTTGTAATCTTATATTGTTAGACCAAATGATTTAGCATAAAAGCATGGCGTATCTTTGTCAATCAAAATCACAATCACGATATCAGCAATCACGATAGCAAATATCTGTATATTTTTTTTTTCTTTTTTTATGTATGCTTGCAATCGTTTGTTGCAGGTCGAGAACATGTATGCAGGTTTATAGGATGTGGACGTAATGATCGATTCAATTATGTTGTGATGCAATTACAAGGAAAGAATTTGGCCGAATTACGACGTGCTCAACCTCGAGGTGCTTTCTCATTGTCCACCACTTTGCGTTTAGGTCTCCAAATCCTTAAAGCAATTGAAAGCATACATCAAGTAGGCTTTCTTCATAGAGATATTAAACCTGTAAGTTCTTCTTAATCTCTTTAATCGATAAGTTTATCTTAATTTTCTTTCATCAACAGTTAATTGCAGGGAGTGTTCTTTCTTAGTTTTTAAAGAACAATTTTTGCTATTTTCCTTCTCATTGGTATATTAATAAATGACCTACATAACAAACATTGCATTCGCCAATTGTTCTCCATTTCTCAGTCATTTTTATCTCTCTTTCGTATTATATTACATCTTATTTTATCAATTGAAATAAAATTCATCTTCGCTGTTTAAAATATAATGTCTCAGAGACAACCATATTTTTTATGAATCATCTGACAAATTGCAATATATTTCTGCATAATCGATGTTATGTTTACAGTCTAACTTTTCAATGGGTCGACTTCCGCATACCTCCAAGTTGGTTTATATGTTAGACTTTGGTCTAGCTCGTCAATTTACGACAGGCACTGGAGAAGTTAGACCACCTCGTAGCATGGCAGGATTTAGAGGAACCGTCCGGTACGCATCCGTGAATGCGCACAAAAACAAAGAAATGGGCAGACACGATGATTTGTGGTCACTATTTTATATGCTAGTAGAATTTATTAATGGACAACTTCCATGGCGAAAGATAAAGGATAAAGAACAGGTACACAAATATTACAAGTAATTTTTGTTTAATCGTTCGATACATGCTTTTTTTCGTCATGAAAGAGTAATCTCGCCTAAACGTTAATGTGTCGTTTTTCCTCCTTTCTCTTCCTCTCCTTTCCCATCTCTTGTTTCCTCCTGATCCACCTTTCATTTCTTCGTCTAGGTGGGTCTCATGAAAGAAAAGTACGATCATCGTTTACTTTTAAAACATCTTCCAGCAGATCTCCGCGTTTTTTTGGAACATGTTCAGGTATGCGACTTGAAAAATGTATAATATGTCTCTCTGATACGATATTTTTATTAAATACAAACATGCGATATTTAACACTTACTAAGCATCAGTAGCATAGTATTTTTGCTAAAAATATATCCTCTCATAGTCAAAGCATGTGATCGAACAATCAATGTAATATCATTTTTAGAGTTTGGGATATGCAGATAAACCGGATTATGCAATGCTGGCAGGTTTATTTGAGCGCTGCTTAAAACGTAGAGGAGTGAAATGTACCGATCCTTATGATTGGGAAAGACCATATATATCAAACGAAAGTTTACCAACTACCAGATCTCTACCTAGTAATTATCAGGTCGCTACGCCTCCGGTACTGACCACTGCGACCACGATCAATCAGGCACCAACCACGCCAAATGTCGATACAAATAATCAAGAAAATGTCGAACCCGACAACAGAAAGGAATTAGACGTAAGATTAAACATTTCCGTTTATGGTTACTAGTTTGCGTACAATATGCTAGGCATATATAAACATCTCTTTGCAGGCACAAATGGATTATGAAAGTATATGTAGAAGAAATAAACAACGCGGAGTAGAAGGATCTTCAGTGCCGTTTACATCGGCTATCAGCAATCATGGCCGAGATAAAAATTGTAATGCAACAATACCTACAATGGACAACACTCGCCAACAATCCGGACAACGAGCTCAAGGTTATTATCTTTTAAACGAAATTTAAATAAAAGGCCTTTCAGCGAATTCACATCATGGATCAGTGTGGTTTGTATAAGTCTGCCGTTTTATTCCTATAGACTCGCCTAAAAAAAGACGTGCAGTTTCAATAGAAGCAGAACCACAATCAGTTTTAATAGAAATCGAAGCAGACGTAACACCACCCCCTCATTCCGCTTCAGAACTTCCTCGCAATAAAATTGAAGTTAATGCTGCAACGCCATTAATAATATCAGCAAGTGGTGCAACATTTGCTCGATTGCGAGTCACACCCGCACCCGAAGCAACGCCTGGTGAACCTCCCAGCCCTCGAGTACAAACTGAAGTCGATGCTTGTTACTGTTCCTACGACGTTACCAATCCAAAATACGTTGGCAATCAGAGTCCTGTAGGCGTAAAAATGAATTTATTACGTTTGATTTATAAAAGGAACAACTTATTTTAAAAAATATCTCATTGCTATATAGGTAACGGAACAGAGGGAAGCGTTGAAAAGGGAACCGCGAAGGAGAACAGATGGACGTCAACAGACAAGGGCTAGCCGTGCTGCAATAAGAGATTATTCCATTACTCAGTTCGCGCAGATTGAGGATGAAAATGTGTCAGCACTGCAGCAAGTAACTAAAGGAGGTGGCGGTTTGACTATAATTTCTCAGTGGAAATCACAATTTGACGATTCCGAGGAGACTGATAATGAATGGAAAGGAGAGAATTTACAAAGTCCAGAGCATAAAGGAACTAATTTACCAGTTATGGTTCCACAGGTAAAGTTTAAAATAATTGCGTTATTATTACTTGTAACATGGAATCTGATACTTTGATAATTAAGAACTACACGAACTTAATTTTATTTATTAAGTGTGGTTAAATTAGCCTTATGTCTGAGACAAAAATTTGTCACGATCTGTTTCGATACTCGTTATTACACGCCGCCCCGCTTCCCGCCCCCCTCCCCCTTTTGTTTTCTTTATCTTTTTATTTCTTTCCTTTTTTTCTTTTTTTTTTTATCTTTTTTCCTTTGTTTCTTTTCTTCTGTTTTTGGAGAAATACCAACATATCCGACATTTAAAAAAATATGTGTTGATATTCTAGCCACATCTGGCCCATAACGACGTCCTCCTTTGATGCGCCTGTTATCTGCTACAGAATCGAATTGAGACCTCTATATCTATCATCGTTACATGCTTTATCTATTTTTCTGTATTTCATATTGTTACTTTTTCCTCTGTTCTCTTTGTTTTCTTTTTTGGAAGCTTGTTTATTGAATTTGCAAAATGACAATTTATTGTGCTTTGAGCACACTTCATACCACCATACGTGTTGACGAAAAAATTCAACGAAATCTACACGTTTCTAGACAATGTGTTTCTTCGGAGAAAGAGCATTTAGCGTTAGAAGCGCATGCTGCGTGTTATGTAGTAGTAGATCAAGAAAGAGTACGATTAACGAAAATGTTATGTGCGTGTTCGATTATTATGTTCGTATTGCCTTTTGTACATTTGTCAGTTTGATTTGAGTTATAAACGTCGAAGTAATAAGGGTGGTATAATTTGGTTTTATAAAATTTGTACATACAGTCAACAGTTGGTAGTGATGCTGTGACTATCGCAACTTCAGTGCCTGCATCTATTGATGCAAAAACGACAGTAATTCAGTCAACCATGTCGGTCGCGCCTCAACATTCGATAATACCAACTGCCCTCTCTCGAATAAGTGAAGATTCTACGAAACCCGCGGCTCCTCACAGGTGTTTAAACATAGCTGGTATCGAGAAATATCCAGACCTTCAAGGTGCGCTTCCACGCGCTTGGAGTGTTCCTGCATTGGCACCACATGTTCGCGCTTACCTCGAAGCACCTCTGGTACGTAAATAATTTATTTTTGTTAGAATTGAATTTGAATTAGAATTTGAATTAGAATTTGAATTTGAATTTGAATTTGAATTTGAATTTGAATTTGAATTTGAATTTGAATTTGAATTTGAATTTGAATTTGAATTTGAATTTGAATTTGAATTTGAATTTGAATTTGAATTTGAATTTGAATTTGAATTTGAATTTGAATTTGAATTTGAATTTGAATTTGAATTTGAATTTGACAAAAACGCATCAAGTGATTAAGTAGTTAGATATTTTATCGGTATTGAGAATTGTATTATTTATAAACATTTATTGTGTTTTAACAACAGGTACAACAAGCCGCGTTCGATGATTTATTATACGAGGTTGACGTCATGAGAAATATAGCAACGCGTTACGATGAACCACGGCAAAGCCCTCCACCACGAAGAGCGAGCGTACCGGCTGTTGCTTTCTCGCCGCCTAACACAATACCTAGCACACCTAGAGGAGAGGAAGAAGAGGAAGCAGTAGCAGGAAGACTGGAGATTAGAGTAGTTGACGCAACAGGTGGTGCTACCGTTGTACAAACTACGGCGGATAGAAAACCATTGCAAAGTAAGTACGAATACTTACGTACAAATGTATTCAACATACGTTCATTTTATCATTTCTTTTTTTTGTTTTGCTTCAAAGTTTTTTGGAGCTAGTATTACTATTATTATTGTTGATATTGTTATAGCCACTATTATATTATCATTATTATCAAATTCTTAATATCATATTCATTTAACACAACTTTATAGGAAAAATGACAAACGGTACAGTAGATAGTGTGGCTAGTCCTAATCCAGAAAGAGAGGAACTTTGGATATACGCTGATGCTGTTGAAAATCGAGCACCTGTCGATGATGCCGTGCACAAGGAGAACAGCACTATCTCTGCCTCGGCCACTATACCGAATGCAGCACCACTTCGTGAATATAAGGACGATAAAGAAAAGGAGGCTTCTAATAGGACTTATAATACTATCAGTAAAATTCCAATTCCGGTTAAAAGTCCTAGATGTTCACTTTCGGAATCAACTCCAGAAACAAATATGCAAAATACCAAGAGTAGTGTGGGGAATGAAATAGAAAAATCGTCTACAGCTGTGGCCGTAACAAGGGAAAAAGATGCTAGTTAGTAAGATTTCTTTTTATCTTACACTGTAATTTGATGATTCTATGTTCCTAAATTCAAACGCGACATTTAATTTTTTTTAATGTTTTACCAATTTATTTCACGATTACCACGAGTTTAGCTTACTATGTAGAAACGTCTAAGTTAGAACTGTTTGAATGACATGTATTCTTTGAGGCTTATTACTTAAAAGTTATTACTCTAAAAACTCGTTAAAGACTAGAGGCGTATTTAAAAACATAATAGTTTAAAAATGATCTTTGTTTCCTTTATATATATATAAATATGAGTTATTCAGTCACATCTTATTTGGATTTTACTTTTCTCTTTTTACGCGAAAGTATACAGTTATAAACATCACTGTATATTTATCATTTTTCGTACGAAACTTTTCCTTCCTTTCTTTGAAGACATTTGTGCATGTGTATGCATACGTTCGTTGTTTGATAAATTATGTATAGAAGATCCTAAAGACATAATTATTAAGTATATTTTTATTATTTAAGAGAAGATAGGGAGCGACGGGAAGGGGGGGGGGGG